TCATTTTTTGCATCGTGAATCATTCGCAAAAGGCCTAAAATGAAACATGAAGGAGTGGATGTAGCTGTTGCTCCTACGTTAAGGGGTGCTCTCGAACGGCCACCAACATCTCCAGATTTGTCGCCGTTGGATTTTTTCTTGTGGGAAGACGTTAGATCTAACACAACCATCTAGTCTACAAGATTTACCAGAAGAGCTGAATGTGAGAAATCGCTTTCAGGAGAACTTGTATGTATGTATGGAAGTTAATGTGCAGACAAGATGCAACTCTTGGTCTTGGACTGGCTTTGCTCGTCACCACCCGTAATCCCTCTAAAGAAATTAGGCCAGTTTTGGCCCTGTTTGTACAAGAATGTTTCACCAGCCAAATCCGATATATCGATAGGCGAGTTTGTATGATATTTTGATATTTTAATGCGGACAGAAAACGATTTATACCCCTCGAAGGTGTCATAACAGGCATCCCATCGATCGATGTCGATGACGGCATGTCGTCACGGGATTTCAAAGGGCGGACCCTCCCCCACGTCAGATTAATGACGTGCAGTGTCGAAACCACATCGCGACATCCAAGATAAATCGTCCTGAAGTTCTAATATACTTCTGCTATCGAGACGTAAACACTTCTTGGCAGCTTCAGTTTTAGGACAATATCGGCTGTGTGCATGGACGGGCGAAAGTCGATTAAGAAAAACAAATTGTCCGGCCCTTTGAAATACTTTTGAAAATAAACTAGTGAGAAACAATGAGGAAAATCACAAGAACTAGAAGGAAATGATGCGCTCTTTCCTAGGCTTGAAACGAGTGAAACTCCGATTGACATTAAGTAATCTTTCGCCCATTGATTCAATGGTAAAACAAATAAAGAAACCGAACGTACAAGACGTCGCTGGTAATTTAATACTGGGATGGCATTTCGAAAGGTCAGTCCGAGCCATTACAAAAGGCAGTAGGCAACTAACCCCTGCACTTATATATCTTCTTCAAGGGTGATTTCGGCATATCTTTAACATCGAAAATAATACGGGCCGAACAATGGCCACCCTTCTTGTACCCCTTAAATGTCACAATAAATTTCTGGGGATTCGCAATTTTCTTATGCGAATAATTCCTCGTTTCATAAAAGAAAATATTCCTTTGATTTTATATTACAACGAGATGGGTTTGTATGAATGGCTGGCTAATCCCATAACTGGACGTGTTTTATTTGAGGAATAAATCGTGGTTCTGATTTATATTTTGCATATGCTTCCGGCCAAATTCCAATTGCAATTTTCTTCTGCTCTGTCGATTGATGTGATTTTTCTATTGCCAACCATCTTGTTGGTGTTTGATTTTAATGCTGTTTAAAGACAATTGTTTTGTACATCACAGTGCAGTTTTAATTAGTAAATTGCTTTTAATAAAAAATAAATAATAAAGTAAATTTTCTTAACATTAGGTTGACTGTTTTTTTAGAAAAGTTTCTTAGCAATCTATTTATTTGTATTCTTCTCTGCATACATAATTTCAGATACAGGTCAGATGTTTAAATGTTTTACTTTACAGGGTTATTGCTTGAACTTAGACCACCCCGTTTTAGCATCTAATTTGAAATATAGAGAAAAATTTTAAATACATTGGTGTAGATATTAACGTCTGGTTTATTTTAAGATCACCAATTGATACATAGTGTCTCAAATTCATATGGCAGAACAAACTTACCTTTTTTTAATGGAATGCCGTACTTTTTATTGCATATTCGAACTATTCGCACAATTATAGGCCTATTCGATAGAAATGTTTTATTATGATTTTTAACTGTTTTTGAGTTAATAACCAATATTGATTGAACTTTGGCCACCCCGTTTTTGTATCAATTGGTATTATCTTAAAATAATCTAGACGTTATATCTACAACTTTTGTATTTAACATTTTTCTTTAAATTTCAAATTAGATGCAAAAACGGGGTGACCAAAGTTCAATCCATCCTGTCCAGTGATAGACGCTTCATTAGGATCTATTTAAAGAAAATAAATTGCGCTTTTTCGGCAAAAAATGCCCAAAAAAGTACAGAACTCCTTGCCATCTCAAAACAGCACCTACATTTTTTTTAAGTTCAGACTGTATTCATGCCTCTTAAACCATGCCCATGAAGCAAAAAATGTTGAAATTTTCAATTCTTGTACAAAATAGCTGAACTAGCTGAAATATTTTCATCAGATGGACTAAAAAATTCACATTTTTTGAGCAATCAAGACCAAACGAATGCATATATTTTCGTCCAAAACTAGACAAATGCGAGCAGTTTCAAAAAAAAATTTCGATGATGTTGATATGCAGATTGCCACTTAATTGATCCCAAACATTTTAGGATGCTATTCCACATTGGATTCCACAAAAATGGATGATGATGATAATTGCGTGCTCTGGTTAGGGAATAGTTTTAGAGTTTATTTTTCATTTAGAGTCACGCTTTAAACACTCGCTCAACAATCGATAATGAGAACATTTTTGGATGAAAGAATCAGGTATTTGGTTGATAAACCCAATCAAACCCGGCTCTAAAGAAGAAGATCTAAACCTGCTACTTGCCAATTGGTTTTGCACAAGAAATAATTAGGACTCATCTAAATGGGCATGGAAAAATTGAAAAATTTGACCAAAATGAAGCAGTATTCTCAGTTTTTTCCTCATACCATTTCCCTACAATGCACATGATTTTTTTATTACAACTAATCAAGCAAATCTGAATAAAACAGCCTAATTTAGAACAACACGTTTCATCGGCAAATATTTAAATTAAAACGATTATCACCTCGTTAAATCAACAATTATAACACGATTCGTTGGCTGAATGTACGTTTAGAATGGGTATTTAGAAATTTTTATGGTCTATTTGCGCCATGGAAAAATAAAAGTTTAAACAATCAAAAATCGTTTGAATAGCGTCTATTCAATTAGAACAGAAAGTCAAATAAATATGGCAAACTTCCTCTTATAAAAGTCGGATGTGTACAGGAGATTGTCTTATCTATCTGGGCTTCCCTTTTCCTACCACGTAGAAACAGCTTTTGGGTTTTTTCTCCTAATAGAATATTTTGAATTTGGACTATCTATAACAGGTATCTTGTCATAGAATCGGATTCTGCATTTTTGGGTTGGGTTCTAAAATGACTCTTCAATTCGAACGGTTCAACCCAAGCCGCGACTGCAAAATTCCCATTTTAATGCTAGTAGCTCCAAAAATTACTACTTTTCCACCAATTTCGGACAGGTTGACTATATTCTTGTTGTTAGTTTGCCTTTGGATAATTATAAGATGTTGGGCAAATCAATAAGCCGTCAGCAGCATGCATCCAAGGATAGGGATTAAGCGACAAGGAGCCGGAAATGGTTTTGATGTATGGAACTTAGGGAATGTTCCTCTGGTGCTCGTCATCGCCTTCGCGAGTAAATGTCTTGCAAACTCCTGCGGCAACGGGAATGTCTTGACGGGCCGGAATGCGCCCGATCGCATACTTGTCGCCCCTGCAGGATTAATCCTTTGCCTCTACACGGGATACATTTTAATGGGGATCGCACACATGAGGAAAATATTTTTCAGGGTCTTCCTGATTCCAATTTATATGTTCTTCACTGTTCCTATTACTGGGTGTTATTGCCAATCGATCAATCCTTTGGAACCGAAAATAGTCTTGATGTTGCCCCTTTCCCTGCATAAGATTTCTTCGAAAGATCGTCTAAATTTATAAATATTCTCGTTAGTTGTGTACCACCCACTTTTCATGTTGTTCCTCATTTAGCTCATAATCATTCCCAAAATGAGTGCAAAGTCATGCAAACAAAAAAAGTGCAAAAAGATGAGCATAGCGAGTCGTATTGGCACCCTCGAAAGGAAACTACCGTTAAATAAATTCCTGTCGCTTTGCCACTATTTCGAAGCGATTTCCCTGCTGCTGTGATATAAAAAAGAATTTGGCAAAAGCCCCCGAGCCCTGCCAGCCCCATTCCGAGGCATCTCAATCGAATTTGAAATATTCAGAGTCCATTATCTGGTCGAATGAAGCGCGAACAACGTTTCTAATTTTCCTTCCACCTTAGTAGGTACAATTAAAAAATAAATATATTCGTCGCCCTCTGGCAATTTTCCCTCAATGGTCCGTGGATAATCTCGTTCTCAATCTGAACAACGTACGGAACAGAGGAACGATAAAAATAAATATAATTTTCCACGGGTGAAGTTCGGGGAATATATAAGGTTTTTCATGCTCGGTCTGGTTCCTCTTCAACATCGCCTCGATTTGGATTTATCCAAATTGTACATACTTTCCTGAATGTGTTTCAATTCCAAATCAAAATCAATTCCCTTACCTTGGCATATATTTTGTCAAGAAAATATATGCCAAGGCTTAAAGTAGCAACAACGCTACACATAGAAACTGATGATGGTGGAAAACACCGAAACGTATTTTAATTGATAAATAGAGAATAAATGACTGAAGCCCAGGAATTGATTTTGATTTATCCAAATTGCAATGTTATCCAAATACGTGCTAATAACCGAATATTATTTACTGATTTTTCTTAATATGGTTCAACAAGTTTAATGACAAATTGTGACCACTGAAGAACAAACGAAAATATGAAAAGATGTTTGAAACGAATGTGTCGTCTTTGTTCACCTTCATTGCCCAAGTTCCCAGGCCCTTTAATTCTCAGTTTTATTTTTGCAGACAGCATTGTCTTAGTCATAAATATACTGTAACGATTTCAATGGCGCAGAGTGCTGAATGGATTAATAATATCCAGGTTGAAAAAGAGCCCCATTGTTTGGACAAATTTAATTAGTGATTTTTAATGGGACCGATTGTATGCCTTTTGTGTTTGCTCGATCAGCGATTTTTTCACATCGACAATGCATCCTTACGGGTAATGGTCGATTATTGAATCATGTTTTTGGTTGCACTCGAAAGTGCTCTTCATTATTCTCAGGCATGTTTTGAATGTTGAAACTTACCCCTAACTTTTTGCTCGTCGTGCAGTTGCCGCTCCAAACCATCTTTTTCGTTCCGTTCTCTCAGCACTTCCATTTTCAGTTCGGCTGCAACAAACGTTTACTTCATTATTCTGAATTATTCGACGCGAAAACAATTTGAGGTTAAAACTAAGGATAAATCCCGAAACAGATGTTCCCAGGGGCCCAAGGCCAAAACTCGTGAAAATTAAAATTCACCCTCAAGCCATAAAAATCCAATATCACTCTAAGTTGGTGGTTTTTGCTCAAGGAGGACATCAATTATTCAGATCTAATTGCCGAGGCGCACTGTGGGCCTGAATGGATCTTATGATGTTAATTTTTAAGCGAACACTTTGGAGTTGGTCCACCAATGTCTGCTTAGATTTATTGAATTCCATTCTGGGAGAAAAATTAATTTTAAATCACCAATTTTCGGGGGAAGAAAAGTTCATTGTCTCAGGCCACGGCCAGATTCGCAGAAGAAATGGCTCAGAGCATAAGATACATAGTCTGAGCCAGTGAGTACTCAATTTTGAGTAAAGTTTGACTTGCGGTCTCTTTATTCTTTGACTTTAATTATTTACCGGGTGATTAAAAATCTATAGCAAAACAGTTTCTCTAGATCAAAATTTTAACAGTAGCACCCACATTTTTACATTCAAATTTCTAACACAATGCAAGGTAGATAAAAGGCATGACTTAAAAATGCAAAATAATTTTAAAAAATCGTCTGAATTAAAAACCATCTTTCATTCATGCCCATTTCCATTCTATTCAGTGACAGACGGCTGAAATATAGCCATTGAACGAATGAATAACGAAAGAATGATAAACAGAAAAAAACAAACTAAACCGCATTTTCCACAAGTCAGAGAATTAGCCGAGGGTGGATAAGAAAACCAACTAAATCTTTATCAACCGCGAAAAATTTTCCCGTGATAAATGGCGTGCATTTAGAGCGGCGAGGCGGAAGCAAAGCACCGGCTAAATTTTCAATGCGATGAATCAATTTGCTTTCTTTTCAAGTCCTTACTTCTGAATGTAATTATTGGGGAATAAATCATTGCGTTGGATGCTCATTTGACGGGCTTATTTTTCCCGTTCCCCATTTCGCGAGAAAAGCCGCATCAATATGAATTATTTCCATGGATTTATTTTTTTTCATTCTGTTTATCTTGTGATGAGCTTTATAATCAAAATTGAAATTGCATTTTGGTTGTGCTCTGATTTTTACTACCTTCACTCTATTTAGTTTATATCGTAATTTTTTTAACCTTTTCTGCCTCATTTTGATAAAAATCCGCTATTTTGTTAAATATAGTGTATAATGGAAATTATGGAAAAGATAGAAAATTTAATATTCAAGAAGCCAAAAATTTACCACAAGAGTCAGTCAGTATCAATTTTTGAGAAGCTTTTCAGAATGAAGGATTTCAATAAAAAAAATGTCTAAAAAATAGTACCAAATTGAAAAACTTGATATGAAAATAACCGAGTAGCTGTGAGGAGTATTTATTAAGGATGTTAAATAGGATCTCTTGGTCTGATTGAAAAATAGTGTTTAGCCACTTGAGTTGACCTAAAATCTATATATTTCATCCTTTATAACACATTTTCCAACTTCATTAGATCCAAAGTATTAAGAAACATTTTTGCTAGGAAAAATTACAATTTGAGCATCAGTTCACATATTTATTAAGGAACGAAAAAAATTGTAAAACGAGAAAATTTAAATATTTCTTTCATGAAAAGATTGAACAATTGTAGAATAGAACAATGATTTTTATTTGCAGATAAATAGTTTGCGTAAATTTTCACTTTTTTTAACTGTAACAAATTGAGTAATTTTTACGGACAATACAAGGGTTTCTATTTTCTAAATAGATATAACAGTTTTTTTCAAATAAAACTCTTCTTTTCAGCGAAAAATCACCAATAGACTTTTGAAAAAAGTATTGTTGAGTTAAGTTTTTGTGAACCAGACATTATGAAAATGCTAATTATTGCGACAATTTTCTTGGGTTGTTATTGAATAATCATTCTTAATTGGTTTAAACAATTGTTAGTTTTTATTGAACCATAAGCTGTATCTACGTTTCAGCAGAAATCTCCTAAAAAGCTTGTTTGTTGCCAAATGAATGTATAATTGTACAATAATTTTTATTTGCAGATTATCTTTTGGCGTGCCCTGTGTAATTTCGGGGAAATACCAAATGCTACAATTTTCAGTAATTTTCTTGGGCAATACAATGGTTTTTATTTTTCCAATGAAAAACTTGTTATTTAAGCAAAAAATCAAATTTATGCAAAAAAAATCGAATTGAAAATTGGTGTGCACTGTTTTTTTTTTGCGAAGTATCGCGATGCGACAATATTGCGACAACTTTCTTAAGAAAAACATCGGTTGTAATTAATGGTAGAGAGAATATTTGTGTTTATTCCCAACTGAATCTAGAATCGGAAGTAAACTATTTGCGAAAGAACCAATGGTGTGGGCTTTTATTTCTCAGGAAAGTTTCCAATGTTGCAATTTTGCGGTAATTTATTGGACAATACAACGGTTTTAATGTTTTCGGTCAAAATGTCTACATCTCAGGAAAAAATCTGTAACGAGCTTTTTGTTTCTAACTGAATGTAGAATTGAAAAATAATTTTTGTTTGCTGAAAAACCAAATTGCGTGCACAGTTTTCTTTCAATTTCTTCTATTAGATATTGTGGAGTTTTTTGTCCAAATCAACGGTTTTTTAAAATCGAAAACTGTGCATTTTAGAAAATATATGAAAACAGCTTTTTTGTTCCTAACTGAATATCAAATTGAAAAGTCATTTCTATTCTACAATTTTTTCTGCAAAATATCAAATTAGTTCTGTAGCTGGGGATTTAGAGTTTGCAAAGATGACTGATTTCAACAAAAGTAGAACGGTAATTTATACAACAGCAAATAAAGTTGTAAAAATTGTTATCAAAAAAATATTAATTTAGTTCGGAGCCTTTGAATAGGTTTTTAGATATTTTACACGAATGTTTCCTCAGTCTTTTTCGAGCAGACGACATCAGTTTAAGTCCATCATCTCAAAGCATTTACGCACATTTTAAACAATTTCTAAACATTATCTGCTTTAAAATACATTAAGCTTCAAGAAGACTGAATAGAATTCATACAATTGAGAAACTTCATAACTGTAATTAAAGAACATTCCTTTAAAATCTACAGAAGATGGTTCAAGCCAAATTTATTTAATCATCGACATTAAGCTCATTTTAAAATACTTTTAGTATCGATCATTCCACTTGTTAATTCACATTTCGTTCCAATCAGCAATTTGGAGGAATTTCAACGGTAAAATTGTCGAAATGAAATGGCTGGCAATTAAAATATGATAATTGCTAAATAAAAAGCATCATGCCCAACACAATTAAGAGTTGCATAAACATCTGCCGTCGAGTTTATCTGCAAAATCGACATCTGCCTAATAGCGGTTAACAATCAATTAGATTGAGGTGATAAATCGCCATATTTAATCGCCAAATTCGGATCGATTAGAACATTTTCCCAATGAATGTATATGTATACTAGTTATTTTTCCGATTTCCTTTGCTTATCGCAAACCAACCCGTTTGGTTTACACTGATTAGCTTGTTTGCGACTCTATGGATGGTGATTTATCTCTCAGTTTTGGCTGAAAGCGAGCATTTTATAAAATAATGTACGGATTTCTAGCAGAAACATTGTTCGCCGTGTTTGGTCGCTGATAAAATCGACGAGATTCGAGATTGCAGTGGTACTGCCGTTTAGTACCACCAGCAAAACTGTTAGTATTGTAAATAATTACAGTCGGATTCGATTTAATGAAGATGTAGAAAACAATGCTCCACTTAGCCGCATGCCGGCGTGTGATACCGAAGTCAGATAAGAGTTCGCTACTGTTAAAACTCGAGCAGAGCGATTCGGACCGCGCGGATCTCTATCGGAGCCATAGAGGCAGCTCATTAGCGGGTGTCGCATTTACATAGAATGGCCGAGGCCCGAACGTCGAGCCACCTGCTAAATGCATTTACATACTTTAATTAAAACGTTCCTTTTTACCAATCGGTTAATAACGATTTAGAACAAAAACTAGTGAAGATCCTAAAGAAATAGGGACAGTCAGTCAGTATCAGCACATCTGAGAACAGAAGCAATTGACCGTCTAGAAGAAAGCCAAAACACATTTTCTAGTGATGAATCGATTATTGCCGAATTAGCTTTGCAAAGAACGATTCTTTTAACTGCAGAAAGTTGTCAAAAGTACGCGATATTCCAGTTGCTAATGGGATCCAAGACAAGAGCTGCCATTGAATCGGTCTTCATAACAGAAGATTAGCAAACACAAATACCTGAAAAATTATTCAGTGAGCCCCAGGGAGGAACGTCCAAAATGATGGAAAATTAAGCGGGCTGTTTTTCTCGGACTCGCGTAGAGTTTAGGTCATGGTACTTGAATCATCCTTAGAATTCAATAGCGAAATCAAAATTGAAGTTAAAAAGAATGAAAGCTTTCATTTGAACAAATGAAGTTGATGGTCGTAGTAGTAGTCGTAGTTGACTTAATCGAATCAGGAGTCAGATATTTTAGTCTCGATGGGTGTTCCACCGTTTTTTTATTGTTCGTAAGAAAGCTGAGTTTTATGCAGGATATTTGAATAACCCTGTATACTAACCAAGTCCCTTCATTATATGCTGCAAAAAATATTCAGTTCATCCAATGAATCATTTCTTTAATGTGTTAAAGCATTTATTGGCCTATTATGAGCAATAAATATTATTTTAACATCAAGGAATACATAATTAATGAGTAACTTGTGGGCTTCTGCTGTGGAACACACAAATCACCCATGGAGTTGTTGACTTGTTATTGGAGTTGTTGACGCATATTTTTTGTAGACTCAATGCCAAAAACCTCTGGGCTTTTTCTATTGCAAACTGTAGTCGGTGTTTGAACAGCAGCACGAACATTCACAATACAATTTCACGCAATCTGAACGAATAAACCGAATTAAAAAGCAAAACATCCACAACATGGATTCCGAAAATAATCAAATT